TCTAAAATAAATATTTTACATTGCAGAAAAAAACTCTATCTTTATTTTCAAAAGCTACAAATAAAAAATTATATAATGCATAACCGATGCAAAATTAAATTTATTTATAAAACTATTAAAATAAATATCCATTTTCGTTAAACAAAATTGCATGTAACGTGAAATCGCGTTGTTTTCAATATTAAATATTGAATTAAAATCATTAACGTTTAGCGTGGATGAGTTTATTGTTATCGTTAACAATCAGCAAATTCCCGATTACAATATAAAGATAAAATAAAATCAGAAAAAGCAATTTCGAAAAAAATTTTCTGATCTTCAAATAAAATTTCCCGAGAATTTCCTGATTTTTCAAGGCACAAACAAAATTCCTTGAGAATTCCAGATTTTTTTTCCAGGTAGTAAACACCCTTGTAAACATAATGTAATGAAAGCGATGAAGAATTCTAAGCGCGCGTGTTTGTCGTAACACGCAAGTAGTCGCAGAAGTAGCGACTAAATTATAGGAAATACGATGATGCCACAAGATTTTAAGATGTACTTAAGTCAAGTCGCTTCGACGATAAAAATCGCTTGCTCCTTTCTTAATTACGCTCGACTGGCAAGCGACACGATAAAGAGGTACCTCAACAGATATTAAACTGCGCTTCGAAGAATTAATTCTCGCCATCGTTCTATTACACACAATAAATAAAGCTTCTATGTATAGATAATACATTCCGCCTGAATCGCCTATCCCGATTGAGAATCGACTCGGGTGGGCGACAACGTATCATTTCACCACTCGTAGCAATCCCGTCGATCTCTCGCAGCCGGATAATCCGTGTTCCGTTTATCCGAAAACGCTGCTCCATTGATTATCCGCCGCACCACCCTTTACCACCCTTAATCCCGCGTGTCAATTAGTCTTCATTAAGCTCTCAAGGCGGAGGTATCGGTAGTGCGCGTCGGTTTCGACGTATGCGCGAGATAGGGCGATCGATCACACGTGGCTGGCACTTGTGCCACTTTGAGAAAGTAAGTCAATGCGACTCTCTGTCCCGAGTAAGGCTGCGCGCGGCTGATTCGTCGAAACAACAAGCCCGGGTCCCCGAGACCTTCGTTCGGCGTTGCATTAGATATCGTTATGTGGCCCGACCTTTACGATCCCGTACAGCTCGCCCGCGCTCCGCCGCGGCGCAGCGACGAGACGTCGCGCGGAACTTCCGCGCCGGATATTCCGCGCGGATCGTCGCGCGTGCGAAAATCGAATGCGCGACGACAGATTTTGAGTAATCCCCGATTACGCCGCGACGCGGCGAGAATCGAATCGAATCGATCATTGTGGAAGGAGCACAAAGTGCCATGATACGATGATGTATCGTTCAAAAGTAGGGGGAGGAGGGGGAAAGAAACAATGAGTTATCATATCCGCTTGATGTTAGATCTTTCTTATAAAATTTCAAATATTTATAATAGATAATAGAATTTGGATATATATAATAAACTTGCGTGTATTTGTTAAAATGACGATGTCAAATTGATTTCCACGTTTCCGTTCGCTTTCAAGTTTAATATATATCTAAATTGTATTAACTAAAATATTAAAAAAATAAAACAATTAATTTTTACGATTTTCTTTTTTTTTTTCTTTAAGATTAAACTCGGCGAGAGGGTTGAAAAGAATTTTGAAATGATTGAATCGTGATGATATTCGCGACGGAATTCTTTCGCGCTATTCGAATTTTTACGCAAGAAAAAACCTCAACGCAATCAGCCATTATTATTATTTAATAACGTAATAACGTGGTTAACTCACCTTTCGAGAGTTTATCCACAGATTCGAAGCGTCCTTCAACCTTGTTCCGCAGAGCATCTAAATCGAAAGGTGTCGTAAATCCATGATCCACGCTACGGCTCTTGCTCCTGTAATAGAGTAAACGTGATAATTAATTAGCTTTACTCTCGTTTATATCCCGAGCTCGTTGCGCTCAAACAAATTTGATTAAGCGAAGCAAAATTAGGAAAAATAGATCGAAAGAGATGGAACGAAACAAGAATTAATCGAGACGCAGGCGCTCCATTCCACGCATTTTTTTTTTTTTTTCAAAATCGACTTTTCAAAATCTCCATTCCGAAGCTACAAAGTATCGGCTTGTAAAACTTGACTTAAAAAAAATTAAAAAAAAAAAAGGGAGAGAGAGAGAGAGAGAGAGAGAGAGAGAGAGAGAGAGAGAGAAG